GCGTGGAATGAGATGCCGGCCAACAGTTAGCGGGTCTCCCGAGACAGAGTCTGAGCCATGGCAAGAGTTCTGTCTTGTGCGGGAGACGGCATCCGCACGCCCGGAATCAACTGGAGGAATTTTGCCCATACCCGTCAAAGCGTCCCTCAAGACCACACAGTTCGCGCCCCGCTGGAAGAGACAGTGCGAATGTGACAGGGTCAATGTCACAAAATGAGATAATTTGAAACATGTCGAAGCCCGAATATTGACGTTGGCCGGCCTCTCGTTCCACGCACATGCCAAGAAGCAAGGAAAAGAGGGCCGTGCGGGGATCAGAAAACGGACATCGACGTATGTCGACGTGCTGGCAGCCCAACACGACGCAACCAAGTCAGGGCACCGTGCAAGTGACCAGGCAAGAGTGTGGAATATGGAGAACTCCTGGTGTGCAAAAGTTAGCGATCGGACCTCAACGACGTATGTCGTCGGTCGGCGTGCCATCAAATCGAGGCCCTCCGCGGACCAGAAGAATGTAGCTCTCTCAACTTCCAGAATATCGACACAACGACGTATGTCGTCGGTCCCAGGTCGCATAGAGCGGAGGTCACCTAGTGGAGCCGGTCGCTGCATCGTACGGCCAGCTGTCGAGTAAGCGTTGCATGTCACGGCCACTCGAGGGAAAGTGACTCTCCTTTAGGAGATAGAGCATTTGATAGTTCCCTTCGTTGTACATTTCCTTCAAGCGTGAGTAGGAGTATTGGTGGTTGTCGTGGTCCTCACTATGAAGGTATGGCATCAGTTCCGTGGATATGCAGGGAAGTTGGAGGCCGGGTCCAAGGCCCCCTTCTCTGAGGAATTCATCCGCCGCAGCCTTCCAGTGGTCCTGTGCCTGAGAGTGCCCCAGCGTGATCCAGGGGCGTGTGCCATCCGGTGGTGGCAGTGCTCGGCTCTCCTCCTGGGCGACCAACCTTTGAAGGAGGGCCATCGCTTTGGCCTCCACTGCGTCGAAGTGCGCAAAGCGCCACAGGCGGGTCGAAAAGTAAAATTTCTTTTTTTGCGGCCCACGAATCCAGTAGGCGACAACCGGAGATCCCAGCCTTCGGGAGGTGGCCGCGGCACGAAGACGCCACAGGGCGCTGTGCAGTAACCCGGCAGCTTGAATCGCAAGCGACGGCTGAGCTTGTAACCCCAGCGGAATATCCGCAAGCGGGAAGAGCAGTCGAAAAGTGCCGCGATAGGAGCCAGGATACGTGAACATGCGCGGTTCAAACTCACCGCGTCTGGCCGGAAGGAGTCCGTTCTCAAAACCCGCCATCAATCGGTCCGCAATGGCAATCTGAGGACGGCCTACCAAGTCAGCTGGAACCTTGCATGTAACCCGCACCTCAATATGTTGGCCGTCTCGGACTGGGGTAACGTTGGTGAGCTGCAGGAGTGGGGCGGCCGAAGGGTCGTCGGCTAGCGCTCGGATGAGGAAGAATAACAGCTGCACAGGCAACAGCACGCCGCAATGTAGTAATGGTGTGCCCTGTGTCACCTCAGCACTCGTGCTGCCTCCCCCGATGGCGCCGTTGGCTAGAACCAGCGCTCCGTCGGCTATTTGCTGGCAGTGGATCTGGTTTGGCAGTGGGGTCACGCTTGGGAGCCAAGGACATCTGCACCAGGCTGCCATCCCGGACGGGGCTTCCGCCCTTCGAGAGCCCGGGGAAGCGAACCCTTAAGTTCCGCGAGTTCATCAAGGAGCAGCCACCACCAAATCTCAGGACGGGCAAGTTCATACCAGAAAAGGTCGAAAACCTGTCCTTCAGGCAGGCGTAGAACTGGGTCACAGAACTGTGCCAGTGCCACGGACACAGCAAGCAGGGGTGTCATGCAGACGTGACAGGCTTCACTCTCAGTGCAGCGCCGCAACATGAGGGCTCGATCTGCAAAATCCACGGGTTCTGGAGGCTGAGCTTGACTTCACAGGCGGGTAGCGACAAGGGGAGGGAAGCAGGGTTAGGCAATCCGTAGAGCTGGGAAGTAAATGCTGCAGCGCCCCGGCGCAGTTTATTCCATCGACCGGCTGCTGAATTCTGCCCTAGCTTGGTAACGGCGAAGAGTGTCATGCTGCTCCGCGAATTCATCCTCATCATCTGCTGGTACACATCTGCTGCTGGCAATTGAGGTGACTTCTGGCACAAGGCGATCAGGCGGGGATTACCGCGCCACACGTTGCGTTAAAACCCAAACGCGCCTTGAGGCACACTTCTAGGTTTAGTAAAAGGAGGTGCAAGCCGACTGACTGACTACGTCACGCAAGGCTACAGCAGTGAAAGCTAACAGCACTTTTACACCTTTCGTCGCAACCAACTGTTCACCACGCGCTTGTCACGCAGTGCAAGTCTTGAGCCAAAGTGAAACGGGGCGCGGACAGAGACTTCAGCACACTCACTTCCGAGGTAAGTCCTAAGGACTCCTAACGGCTTCTCTGCACTGGCAACTCTGCTACACGGCCCAGGTGTTCCCCGGACTTCGTCTAGAAGTCCGTTCTCACAGCAAACAAACTGAAAACACTCTGATGTTCATCATGCTTCAGGGAAACACCGTTGTTCGTGAAAACTCGTGAGGAAAACTCCGGTTGGACACGCTTCTGGTAATGATCACTTTCACCGCAAGGTGAGATAGGAAGCGTGAGCGCAGCGACCGACAGACAGACAACTTTTCCCTACTCCTACCGTTCACAACTACACCTAAGGTTCTCTAAAACTCACAAAGGAGAAAACAGAAAGTGTTCCTGACCTTGGCGAGACACAGGGGCACCATTATAGGATTGAAAATCATTCCGGTGGCGCGAAAGTCCACGGCCAGAGGCCACTCCAGAGAAACCTAAAAACGTGCACATAATTAAGGTTTGCACAACCCAGTCCTTCACAGACCAGGGGTAGAAGCTGTCTCAAGGGCCAGCGCCCGCTGTACAGGCGAGGAGTGCCCTCAGCCTTAAGGCACCGACAGCTACAGGTAACTGTCTAGGGAGCTTCAGGCTCGACCCCAAGTAAGCTGTATCCTCAGCCCTGAGGCGAGGTTAGCAGCTCGGCCAGAGCCAGCTAGCAAAACAGGTCAGTACCTTCTGTAGCAAAACCTTCAGAAAGTACCGACTCAGCAACTACCCCGGGGAGCAACACACTCAACCCTCAGCTCAGGATTGAAAATCATTCCAGTGGCGCTTGTCCACGGCCAGAGGCCTGTCCGAAAAGCTGCACCGAATTAGATTGAAAATCATTCCAGTGGCGCTTGTCCACGGCCAGAGGCCTGTCCGAAAAGCTGCACCGAATTAAGTGGTATGCACAACCTAGTCCTGCACAGACCCTGGGCGAAGTCAAAAAGACCTCAGCCCCAAGAAAGCACTCTGTCAGAGCCCTACTGGCAAGGAGAGTGACAAGACTCCTCAAGCCCTTTTTGGGAAAGACAAACCCTGACAGGTGCTCAAGCCGAACAGTGAGAGGTGAAAGCTGTACAACCTAACTGACACTACCCTCAGTCTGGCACTCAGCTTGCAGTGACCTCAGCCCTAGATTGAAAATCAACTCCCCCTCATGAACCTGTCGTCGAGAAAAGGTACCGGTCCAGTGGCTGCTGTTGCGTATTGGGCTCGTAGATCTTCTCACGGTCCACGATAGTTTTATGGCTCTTCCAAAAACGGCTGCGGCTGTACAAAGAGGCGTCAGCACCTACCAAGCACTCAAAGCCCTAAGAGCTGTGTGAGCAAAAGCTTCGGGGTAGTGCTGGGTGTTCTTCAGAACGAACATCTTACTATGCTCGTGGTTTCCAGGGCACTTTAATTTATCCATGCAGTGAATGAGAACATGACTGTTCGAGCACAACCTCCAAACCTTCTTCACTGGAAGTGCGTCCATTCCAACCATACCGCAAGCACAACCATGCACAAGAGCGGTCTCATGCGGATTGATCTTAAGGAATGACTTCGTAGCGGACCATCCCCAGTAAGCACAACGTTGCGGCCATTCAATGACCCAAGTTGCCGAATCAGATGTGTTGACTAGCTTCAAGAAGCTCTTCCAGAGCTTTCGGTGGACTGTGAAAAGTCCTTTCATCCTTTCATCATAGTGATCTGCAGATCGGGCTTGGTGATACCGCTGCCAAGGCGAACCACCGGTACAGGGCGTCGAAGCCCACACAACAACATGCATGTTCCGACGGTGCGCCGAACGAAGCGCATGCTCAATGAGCTCGATGGTCTCCGGAAGAGTCCCATCCGTTTCTTCCGTCACGGGAATAGCATGGATGCCATAGTGGCTAGCAAGCTTAGTCAACCAGGCTTCTCCAGAGGTGCAGAACTCGACCATCACAATGTAATGCGGTGTCTGCAACCGACAACGACCAACCAACACACTCCAAGGATCATCGACGCTTGCAGAAAACAGACCTTTGAACGCGGCAAACACAAGGCAACGGACCGGGGGCGCATCACCTCGAAGATAGTCACTACGGGTGAGACGTTCCTCAAGACACAACTGTCCTATATGATACCAAGTTTGCGCGACACTCAAGTTCTTTGTTTGCAAGTCGGCGACGTTATCCGTTCCTGGGACGTGTGTAACCAGGATCTCGCCGTTCTCAACCTTATCCTGCAAGTAGCTTTTTTGATTTTGAACCGCGGGACAAGTAGCTGTCCACCTGCGAGCCCGAGGTGCACTCACTTGGTACACCGCAGGAGAGCTGCTTTCAGCTCAAAAGCGCTACACTCGTGATCCGAATTTTCGGACCACGACGTGAACCTACCCAAAACTACGGACTGCAAAAGCACTTGCTGTGTTGTTGTGACAAGAGGTAGTTGTCAGAAGACAGTCACCTGCTTTCGCACCCAGCGCTAGGTGCTGGCCACAACGAGCGAAGCTCAAGCTGAAGAGTCCTCTGGTGCAAGTACGCTGTAAAAGCCGTGGGCCGAAAAGTCAGCCTCCACAGTTGTGCGACAAGAATGTTGTGGCGCAGCAGGCAGCCACTACCGAGCAGTGAGGTTACACTCGAGTTAGGTAGAGAACATAGCAGTTGGCTTGAATCTCATGCCTGATTTTGGCGTTTGCAAGAGTGGCGGTTTTGCCGTCGTCTGCATACCAGAGTTTGTTGCCTTCGTCCAGCAAGGCAGCTCGGTAATGGCCCTCCGTAGGAGTGTTTCCCAAGTGAACCGCGACGGCTTGCAGCTTATATGCGACATTGCATACACGAGTGTCCGATGCAACAAAGCTAGGAATTTGCACCACTTCATCGTCAAGCCTTAAGAGGGTGTGAAGTTTACCATGCGGGCCGTATCGCGAAAGCTGCAAAGCTATGCACTCAGGAGGATGCCACAGCGCATGGACCTGGGCTTGGGCAGTCCATGAGTTCACAAGTTCTTGCACCGTAGCGCCAGCAATCAGGGGCACCGACAAAGGCAGGGGAGAGGTGTCTCCCAGGTATCGCACCTCTCCTTCAGTGGTGCGTGCTTGCCATACTCCACTCAAAGCGTTCATATTGGCTCCCACCTGGAAGGATTTGAGAAACTCAGCTGCGTCGTGCTGCTGTCCCGGGGCCCTCCAGTGATGAAGCAGTTGCTTGAACGGCCAGAGATCCCAAAGCATAAAGGGTTTAGGCATCCTTAGCAGAGCCTCGAGAGAGGCTATCAAAGCTCGTGGCAGGAGATCCTGCCGGCACTGATAGTGTGACCATAACAGACACAACGTGGTGCAATTGGAATAGCAAACGTTGGACTGGTTCAAAAGTCGGGCCTTCAGAACGTGTTGCCTGTTCACCTGAGCTTTGGGTTGAGTGTGACGCGTGGCATTAGGGGCAGGAAGGGCGGTTGGGCATGAAACGGCTAGGGATTTAGGCACTTTCGTGAGTGCTTTAGCAGCTGCTGAGTCCGCGACTGGGCTGCTGGAAGCTGCCGAGCCAGAGCATTGGCCAGTGGGCTCCGAGCGAGGCGTTCTGGTTTGATCGCCATGCCCAGAACTTGGCAACTGGCATTGGAGCACAGGGTTTGCAGTCCTGCGTGTAGCTGGTGTGAGGGCGCCGAACGGTTGGCAATCGAGCACAGGAATGTAATGGACTGTCCCTTCAGTTCGGCTGCTAGTGGACGCGTCGGGCAGAAGCGCGTGATCAGCTCCGCGTCCTGGCTCAAACGCACGATGTGATCTACTGACTCCCTGACCTCCTGCATGTTCAGCGGCTTCTTCTCCGTGTCCGGGATCAGCCGTCCTCCTGTCTCCTCGTTGGCCTCCCAGCGGAGGAATGCCCAGTGTCCGTCCTTCAAATAACCCAGCTTCGTCATCAAGGACTGAATCTCGGCTGTGAGGAGCGCCGGGGTGAGGCGACGTTGAAACTCCTTCCAAAGGTGGAGCCACAGATGATGCCGCAGGGAGGTGCGGGCCAGGCCCTGATCTCGATCCGTTCTCCATGTCTCGGCAGCTTGATGGAGGCTCTCGGGGAGGCCGCCCGGCAATCCCACCCGCAGCCAAAGCACGAACGATGTGTCGAGCTGGAGTGCCTTGATGCTGTCCTCGTGGCGGATTGCCAGTCTGATCAGCTGTTCGCACAGCTGACGAAGGTCCATCAGCTCCTGCTGTTCGTCCTTGGTGAGCTGCTTCTTGCCGCGACCCTTGTCCTTTCCGTTTCCTTTCCCCTTTCCCTTTCCCTTTCCCTTGCCCTTTGGCTGTGTCTGGGTCTTCAGCTGTTTGGCCGGTGTCTGGTCGTTCTCCGAAGCCGACGGCAACGGGCGGCTCTGCTTGGGTGCCGGCTGGTTTGCCATGAACCTGGAGTACAGCTCCCACTCCTGACTGTCCTCCTGCTCCATCTCGGTTGCGGTCATCTGCAGCTGAACCTGAGTGCATAGGAGGGCAGTCGGAGTTGGTAGATTCAAGGCTGGCATAGATGGACTGCCAGAGTACGTGGCAGCCTACGGCATGTCGGCTGGGGCAGAACGATACTGCCTGCCACAAAAGCGACAAGGGTTGCCCACCGCTATGCCTTTGGCTGTTGCCTCTGTTTGCTCGAGCCGGCTGTGCAAGGTCTTGTGCTTGGCTTTATAGTGCACCTTCACTCTAGAGGAGTCGGCAGCCCAAAGGCGACACTCAGGGCAGTGATGTTCCATGCGCGCATGCAAAGATTGCAAACCCGTGATGTGTTTCCAGTCACGTTTGGCTACAGTCTCTAAGGTAGCAATGGCCGGTTCATCGACCAATCTGGCGCAGAAGTCGGGGGTAGCCTGGGCAGCGGGCGGTGTTTCCAGGGTGGGTGTAGGCACATCGGAACTCCCATCCCGACACGAATGTCCTAGCAGATGGGTACTCTCAACTTGCACCGGGTGCGCTGGAACTGCATCGGCAGAGTCAGCTGGACGCTTCGGGCAATTATCGAAGAGTATGTGCGAATTAAAATTGCGCCAGCCATTGAATTCTTTAAGACAATAGCGACATGTAGGGACCCCACCTAAGGAATGTTCAACCTGGTTCTGCTGCTGGGTGGCTCGCCTGACTGTGCCACGCTTGATGGCTCCATGCTTCTGGGCTCTGTGAGTTTGCAAAGTGGCTGCTGTGGCAAAGGTGCAGGGACAATCTGGACACGCAAAGGGGCGGGTCACTTCGCCTACCTCAACGAGCTTGACTGGCACTCTTGCTGGGCTGAGCTTCCGACTTTGTCCTGAGAAGTGTGTGCGGTTCACCGGCACCGGGGGTGCCTGCGTGGCCTGCTCTGTGTCAGCCGGAGTTTCGTTCGCTGGTGGCGGCTGGGGCTGTGAATGAACAGGCTCGTCTGGGGATCTCGCCAAGGAGGCTAGGAGAAGGTGATGCCATTGGCGTGTACGTTCTAGCTGCAGGGCCTCAGGCAGAGCTTCGAATCGATCTTTGTTAGCTTGGGCCTCTGCACGCAGAAGTGACTCAGGGTGGAACCGGAGCTCAGCGAACAGCTCCAGGTTAGTTTTGTGAGTTTCGTGTCCCAGGCTGTGCGTGATGATTCGGAGCTGTCTGGCGGCAACTCCTTGCACTCTCTGCAGTGACTTGGGCTCCAGCGGCAGGGTGGAGAGGCCGTATCGCAATGAAGGCCACACGATCGCTCGCCACAGCCGGATGCGATTGTGCATGCTGAGGCTGTGGCGCCCACAGAGCACCTGTCGCAGCCGTGCGAAGACCTGGGTGGCACGCTTGCATCGATAGGCTACCGAATGGTGCTCGAACGCCCCATATCCAATGATCATGCCTAAGTAGGTGTGTCTGCGAACGATGGGAAAAGACAGGTCTGTGGCCAATCGTAGCCTGGGCTGCCCCTGCTCCCGAAAACGAAGTTTTCCGAGAATTTGCGAGGCTTTGGGGCCATCGACCTGCAGCAAGATCACACTCTTGGTCGGGCTGACCCGAAACCCATGATGTTGGAGTACCCTGACCATCCTTCGAATCTGCTCGAGTCCATCTTGGAGGGCCTCCGGGGATGTGATGCGCCACTGGCCAATCACGTCGTCGGCGAACATTGTGATGACTTGCGACGCGTCGGGGCCTAGAGCTTCCAGGAGACGATGATAGACAAAGGTGGTCGCAGCAGCCCAGAGTGACGGGGAAAGGGGACATCCCTGTCTCACACCCCGGGCTGTGTGGCAAGTTGCAACATCTCCCCCGTGATCGATTTCAAGCACAATCTGCGCATGAAGGGTGACAATCTGGGTGATCATATCCTCTGGGGCTCCGGCTGCCCTCAATGCGGCAACAATCACCCAACGAGGTATGGAGTCGAAGGCCTGTGCCACGTCCAGTGAGAAGCTTATCCCACCAGTGCACGGGTGCTGGACAGTGCGGTCCTGGCGGCGCTGGACCATGCGTGCTCGCACTGGGGCCTTTGCGCGAACAGCAAAGAAATGCGAGTAGACGCGGTGAAGAGCTTCGGCAGTTGAGCGCCCATGACAGTACGCGAATTGTGGCGACGAGGCTAGGTACGGGAGTAGGAATGGCGCAAGGAGCTCATTCAGCATCGAGGCGTGCGCTTTGTTGGCCGGGTGAATGAGGCTGATCGGCCGTGCGTCGGCCGGTTGTTGTGCACGGCGCCCTGGCTTGGGAACCAAGCAGAGGGCAACTTGTCTGAGCTCAATCGGGAGTCTCCAGGGCACCTCGGCATAGGAATCGTTGAGGATGCGGCTGAGCATGGGGCCCAAAGTCGTGGCACCAAGCTTCCACAGTACCCCTGGGGCGGCTTTCGGGTGTGCGGCTTTCTGTGCTGGGAGCCGGGGAAGGGCTGTTGTGCAACCAGCGGGTGTGAACAGGGGCTCCTGGCATGGTAGGACACGGTGGGGCTGTGCCTCAGGAGCCCGATAGAGATCACGAAAATGGGCCAACAATGTTTCACGTTCTGCTTGGGGTCCCTGCATGTGTCCCTCCGGAGTGCGAACATGAAGCTTCAAGTTGACCTTCTTGGGTGCAAGGCGCCTTACCACCGCATAAACCTTAGAAAGGTGTCCCTTGCCGGCAGCAGTTTCGGCCTGCTCCACTTGGTCCAGAAGGAACTGTCGCTTACGGTGCCTGCGGGCTGCACCTGCGGCACGTTCGAGCTCACTCAGCCGAACTGAGGTTCGCCAGTGGGCGAGTTGACCATGCAGGCTGGTGTCCTCGGCCAGTCGCCGCTTCTCTGCCCTGAGTTCCCATATGCGAGGTGCCGTATGAAGCTGTGGTGCGCCTGCCTGCTCATTCTTGTCTCGGCTTTGCTTGTTGCCGGCTGTTGCCGGACAAAGCTGTAGCCACACATCCTGGAGGATACGATCTATGTCCTGGATTGAAGCGTTAGGGGGCAGGATGGCACTGAGGTGGGCCTCGAAGGTGGCCTGTAGAGCAGGGTTCGTCCCCAACGCAGCCACGACCTTGTGGGGGCGCACAGCAGGAGGTCTTCGTGCAGTGAGGTTCCAGGGGCACCAGTTCAGAGGCAGAGAGCCTTGCAAGGGCAGGTGTTTCATACCAAGTCGGGCCGCACCGACCGGCCAGTCTGCAATGGTGGCAGCTTGACGGCTGGTTTTGTCACTGTGGGCCGAGCGGGCAATGATGTAGTCGATTTGGGATTGGGTGCCGTTGCTCTCATTGATGAATGTGCTGCCTGGGCTTGGCCCGAACGTGTTCAGAGCCAGCAGGCCAAAGGTCTCCAAGGTGTTGGTGAGCTCGGGCACATCAAGATGAGGGCCCGGGCTCGGTGGGACGCCCGTTCCGACCACACCTCCTTTCGGCAGAAGCTGTGTGTTGAGATCGCCCAGCACGCACAGCACATTTCTCTGGGGTATCCCCTTGAGGGCCGAGCTGAGTTTGTGCAGAAAACCCGCCCGCCGATTGAGGCAGTCAGCCCACCAGTCGCCGGGGTTATCCCTTTTTCGGTGATACCAAGCAAATTGATACACATGCAGAACATCAAGTGGCTGGTGCCCCTTCGAGGGGAAGATGCGAATATGTTGCAGCCTGCCGGGTACGGTAGGAGTGTGCCTAATCGCGGTTTCAGGGGCAAAGGTCTTAGCCACGCACACGAGTAGCCCGGCCTCCTTGTTCTGGCCGCTCCCATGGTGGATGTATGTCCACCCAGCGTCGCTCCATTGGCGATCTTCTCGCCAGTAGGTTTCCTGAACACAGAGAATATCGAACGTTTGGGCATTGAGCTGCATCCATGCCTGGAGCTCGGTCCAGATTAGCCCTGTAAGGCCTCTGGAGTTCCACGTCACAAATCGGCATCTCCTTTCCGGGGCTTGAGGCCTACGGCGTGGGTGCTTCGAGGGTTGCGGCTGGGTCTGTGCATCCTTGAGGGCATCGGTGGTCGAGGTCCGAGGCACTTGCAGGTGAGCTGATGTCAGGACCTGGCCGCGATAGTACGCAAATCCGTGTCGTGCTGCTATGGTTTGGGCTTTTCGTAGCGCTTGCTTGCGGTGATGCAATCGGGCAAATGGACCTGGCTTCGCCTTGGCATCAACTGGTGCGAAACCTGAGGGGGCTTCAGAACTCGCGGTCCCGAGTTCAACCCTCGCGTCTGTGGGTTCATGTTGGATCTTCTCGACTAAGTGTGCTGTCCCACCCCCGGACTTGGGACCGGGGCGGGTTGAGATAAAGCTCTGTGCTGTAGCGGTGGCCTGCTCATGCGGGCCTGAGTGTCGGTACCAAGCCATTGTCCTGTGATCTGGCACTTCGGTTGCTCCGGCTTCAGCTGCTGAGGTCACGGCAACGAGCGGAGTATCAAACCCTCCCGGCATAGATTCCGAAAACAGTGGCACAGCAGGTGGCTGCGCATATGCAGATGCGGGTCCCATCCAGTACTCAGCCAGGTTAGTGGCTGTGGCTGTGGGCTCCCACTCGCTCGTATCAGCGAGGAGACCCTCATCACGCAAATCCTGGTCGGCGGAATTGCGGCTTCTGAGTACAGAAGGGACAATTCGGCCACCTCCGGAACCCCGGTCGGCGGAATTGTGGCTTCTGAGTACAGAAGGGACAATTCGGCCACCTCCGGAACCCCGATCAGCGGAATTGTGGCCCTGGTTTTCGCGTGCAGCGACGGTTGCATCCAGGGTCGCGGCATCGGCTGGACACCGTAGTTCTCCTGGATCTCCGATGGCCTCATTCCAGGGTCGTGGGTTGGGGGTGGTTCTATGCGCAATTCCCTGTGTGCTGTTCGCGAGTGGCCGCGGTTCGCCTCTAATCAACAAGTCTGGGTTAGGGTTAAGGTCTTCCTGTCCGCAGCTGGCAGTAAGGAGCTGAGGCACACAAGCTGAGGTCGAGGCTGCCGACGGCGTGTGTGTTTCACTCGGCGGTGCCAGTAATCCCGGCGGGGGTCTCACCATCCTGGCATAGATCCTGAGAAGCAGTTCGTCCGGATCTGCATCATCCGGGTGGACATCGGCTGCAGCACACCAGTGTAGGGCATCGG